CACAATAAATCAAAATCTCCATTTAAACTTTGCCTGTCTTGTACAGGTAAGTCCTCATTTAGTAACCATAATTTAGACTAGTGACTCAGTTGTTACGCAAAACAATTGCCAAGTGAAACTGTGATTGTGCTGATTATCTTATTTCTAATTTTCTTTCCTTACAAACCTGCAAAAATCATAAGTGCAAGGATTGGTTATAAACTTACTTTTTCATAACCATCATAAATGTTTGTTAAATGAGACAATTGTTAAACAAGCACTTCCTGTATATGGATTTCTCATGAATCCAGACTGCAATATTTTAAATGAACAGTGGCACTTCTAGAAGATGGGAACATACAGTATATATCCTTATCAGCATTGACCATTAATGATGTATCACCTATTAATAATGACTAAGTATATGGCTTTGAATATAGATAAAAATAAGGTAAAATGATGGTTTATTTGTCATTATGTTTATTATCATACCCCACCCCATCCTGGATTTCAGAACAACAGTACTGAAACACATATTTACTAATGGTTTGATAACTAGATTTGTTTAAGAGACTGTGATTAAGCCTAAAGCTATGCATCTAGATCAAATATTCTGGATTAAATATCACTGTATCTTGTCTGGCAAGACGTTGTACTGAGGTTAAAATGGATTTTGTTATATATGGTTTGAATTCATACCTCATAGGTTCAGTTTCTAAGAAGGAAATCCAAGCCATTTTAAATGGATTGGTATGTTTTACTAATGTTTTATGAAACTGAATTGCCATTCAGTATGATTTCATTTCTCATAGGTATATGCTTAGTGTTGGGGATTTTAACATTTAGGGAGTCATAGTCTTTTTAGTGATTAAGAAAACAAATAGTTTTCCTGTCTTTTACCTTTTTCAAAGGGCTAAACTATCAGTGCATTTGTATCTTCTTCCTTCCGCCTCAAAGTTTCCGCAGCCTATTTAATCTTCAGAAATTTCTTGGTGTTTTCTGGCATCACTTTGCATACATTTTAAAGCCAAAAAGTGTTGTTTTCAGCAAGCTGATCTTGTCTTCTAGTCATTACCTACTTGTGCAACATCCTAGGCAGCCATGCTTAATTTGCTAAATAAGAGACATATTTGTCCAGTGCAGTTGCCATGTTGGTGAAACTACCGTACTTACCAACAATGTACTACATACTCCAAATGCTCTTCTTTGATTATTAGTTCCAAGTTTTCACCCCTAGTTGTTCTGCTTATTATATCTGAAGAAAAGGTATTCATCTGAAACACAAGTCATTCTCAGTCATGCTACCCAAGAATTGAATATCTGAAACTGACTTATAATTTGAAAAATCTTCAGGCAGAAATTCCAGCTTAAACTCAAGAAAGCACTGGTCACTTGCTTCACTTGTGGATTTTTTCCCCAACCTGGTCAATTTAGTCAGATAGAAAGGGAAAGAGTAACATGTCACTAATGGTGTCGACTCTTGACATACCATATCTATGTCCTCCAGACCTAAATGCTAAAAATAATAGCCAGGAACCTGTCAGTTGCCAAGATCATCTCCCCATGACCTGTCCCAACAGTGGTATCCAGAAATAATTGAATCCAATTGACCTTGTCTGTAAAGGATGATAAAAATTGTTTATGGCAAGCTTACAATTGTTCCAGCTGTGTTCCCACAACATTGCATATGGAGCAGATGTCACACAGTATGGAAAAATATCATTGGTTCATTCTGCCCAAACTTGGCAGCATTTACTGCTGTGTAGTGCGACTTCAAATGGATCTGACAAATGGCCCATTCTGAGTTCAATCTGATTCATCTCAAAAGTTCTCCACTCATGCTCCAACCCCCTACCTATCTTCTGTTGTTCTCACTTTTCCTATAAACAGTTTGAGCTCTACTACAGGGAAGAGGGCACTTAAGAATAATAGTATAACCAACTAAGTTATTTCCTTGTCCCACTGATTGACCAGATCTTCTACATGGTTGCTGACAGACAAAGTAATTTCCCCAAGCCTATTAAGAAAACCATTCAGATCTGTCAGGCATCTGAATTAGACTGTTTGTCCAGGATACGTTTATAGCAGCAAATGTTTGTAATCTCTGAATCATGGTTACTTAAAGGAGTCACAGAATGTTCAAATGTAACAGATATTTCAGTGATGAAAACTACAGTGAGATTCAGAATCCCATTCCTCAATGAACAGTATGATAGCAAAACTGAACAGAAAACTTCTGCTTGGTCTCTGCAGCAAAGGGAAGAAGACAATGTAAATATTTATCCTTTTTTTTTAGTTTGGGAACAACCCCCATCCTCACATCTGTAATTTATTCCACACTTCTGCAATGGAACTCATAGCTTCTATGTTAGTCACAACACAGGACAAATTAGTCCAGCGTAAGCTTCAATAGGAAAGCAGAATCATTTAAACTGGACTTAACAAGAACAAACCATATGGATATCTCATAAGACTTAAAGTAAGATCTTGTGTTTACAGCATTATATTAGGTTAAATGAATTGGTTGGATTATGCCTCTATTTCCACAAAGTGCAACCTTAGAAAAATATTGGGAAAAACAGGATCAGCTGACTTCTGAAGTTTTATGTATCTATGATTCAAGGTTTTGTTTTCTTTACAGACACTTTAATAGGAGGAGGAATTCAGTATCTCTAGTAAACATGCAAATGTTCAGGTAGCAGAATGCACTGCAGAAGATGGTAAGCCCTCAAGTCCAGCCCCTCAAGTGCCATTTCACAGAAAAGTTTATTTCTGTTGATAATTAAATTTAGGACTATTACATATTTTCAAAGTTCTGTCATTTAAACCACTGAAACAATGTCTTGAATTTACACATATATAGCACCCAAAGAGCTTTCAAGTTGAACATAATCCTTGGAATAAAATTGGGATGATACAGAAAAGCCCACTCCCTTCTAGCACTGATGATATTACCTCATTGGGTAATGAAATGTCTGCAAGAAAACAACCAAGATCAGAGAGCACCAAGGAGCCCACAGTACAGCTTTGAGCTATGAACACTCTCTTCTATCGGATGTTAGAATATTTTCCATTTTTAGTTGTACAATGATGAGAAGTATATATGTAGGTCTGAAACAGCATTTGATTCATCATGATCTGTTGAGATAAACATGTTTTCATAGCACTCACTGATGTATTCAGCAGACCCACCCAAATAAAATTTCATTTAACTCAATAACTGCAATACAAGTAGCAAGCATCTGCATAGCAAATGTGTCTACATAATCACAGTATTAACATACTATTGTTTTATTTTTTTATGTACAATATTGATAACACATTTAAATCAGATCAGAGAAAACAACTTTTTATGCTGTGTGTGGTGCAAAAACCAAAGATTCTCTTAGAAAACATGGACGTTTCCGAGCCTGGAGAGAATGAGGAAGCCATCTCAGACAATAGATTTTGGGTGACCCAAAAGAACAGCAAAGTATTATTTATTCATATCATTATTGTAATTTATTAGCTAAACAGGTGTGCTGGGATTCTTTTTCTGGATGTCAGAATATTCTTCCTTGCTCCACTATTTTGCTGCAATAGGACCCCAATTTTACATTTGTCTTTAAACTCAATTGCTATTCTTAAAACACTCCATGTTGGAAAGCCTCACGTAACATATTTTCTTTTTTTGAGCATGTACAGTATGTGAGCAGGAAATATTAATACAGTAAATTTTCCATGTGGCCAGGCAATGAAAAGAATTTCTAGACTCTAGCTTCCTTTCATTAGATCTCCATCAGTGTAAACTCTCACTGTCCCTTTGTTCAATAAAATGAATTCCCCAATAAAGAAGAACACCAAATACTGAAAAAAACCCTGGGGATTGTACTCCAAACAAAACTCTGTAGTACTGTGAACTGAACCTTGTTTCATGTATAGGGCTGTAGCAATTGCTTTCACTGCCTCACTTGGATGCTCTGAAGATGCACTATTTTTCCACAGGTTGCCATGCAAAGGAAAGTTGGAATTGCACAATAAATTGTTGGCTGTAAGAAGACACTTCAAGGGCAACCACTATTTCACCAGTACTTAAAATAACTTAAATAGATTGCTTGTAGCCAAAGCTTGCTCTATGCCTTATTTAAGCTCTACTGTATTGTTTTCAGGATCCTGTTTTCCTAGGAAAACCAATGCAGAGCATAGTTTCCAAAGCAACAAGAACAACTATAAGACTTAAGAGGAAGAGTTACATAATCTCTTACATGCAGTGGTTATGTAACTCAGAATTTCCTAATAAATGTTCTTCAACTCTCTTCCACTATAAGGAGTTCATATTAGGGTGGTTTTTTTAAATATTATACCTCCCAACAGTATGGCTTCTTCTTTTCCCAAATACTATCTCTTCTTTTGCAATTGAGTTTCCAGTTTATATTTTGCATAATTAATGATCTAGCATATATACAATTAACCATACAATCTAATGTGTGTCTACTTAGAAATAATCCCTCCGCATATAGTGGAGCTTACTCTCAGCGAAATGTCATCCAACTCAATGTAAAAACCAAAATAGTTTCTTTTTTAATTTGTACCTGCTAGAAATCATGACAGTTACAGGAGAATTTTAATTCTGAGCTATTGCTAGACAAGATTGCCGCTTTTGTAGATGAGTCTCTCCAAACAACTTCAATGTGCATAGAGAAAAATTGTCCAGAAAAACCTATTTCAGACAACCTGAATCCAAACCATTTAGGTAGGCTTAATATTAGAGCTCCTTTTGGAAGAGAGTATTCCTTAAAAATTATGACTTTGCAAATAACACATTTACCTTTATTCTATATTATTTGTCATCCAGGTTATACATCAAACATGCATTTCAGTCATATCATCATTTATTTTTAATAAATACCCAGTATCATAAAGCCCACCCTCCTAGTTCTAATAAAATAAAGTTTCACAAATTAAACTTTTAAACATTTAATATCAGTATTTTTATAATAAATATTTATTTGATATTAGTTTTCATTGGATTTTCAACTTACCTCTACAGATAGGAATTGGAAAATCCCAGGATGCTGTATTTACTGAACTGGCTATACAGGTAAGTTGGGGGTGACCATCCAGGATGTAGCCTGTCACACAGTTATATCGGATTTTATCACCAACATCAAATTGTGTTCCATATAAAATACCTTTGGATGGAGTGCCAGGATTTCCACAAGAACTGCTCTGTAATTCTATAAAAGAAAAGAAAAAGAAAAAGAATTACAACTAGAGCTCATAGTTCACAACTTAACACTGCTGTTTAAAGTGCTCTTATGTATGAGCCCAATCAATTATGTCTTTCTCAAGACATTACAGTACATACAATTCCTTTTTTGTTGTGTTACCATTAGCTTGCATTCCAAATGGTGCTAAGGTATGTTTCCTTAAAGATCCACATTTATTGTCATGAATTTATTTTTCATAATTATGTATTTCATTCTCTATCAATAATTTTCTAAAATTATAAACTGACTTTTTTATTTGTTTTCAGTATATATTATATATCTCCCAAAAAAATTTTGATTCAGCTTTAACAAATGTACACCATTTTAAAATATACACCTTCCAACATGAAATTATAACTGGGAAAAGAATTTCAGAGACACTTTATTGGATTCGCCCTCTAGAAACACAGCTGACATTGGAATATTCTTAGAATTACATAGAATAATAGAGTTCTAGACCAATCTCCTGCTCAAGCAGGAGACCCTATACAATTCCTATTACAGCTCTCTCATTTTTCTCTAGTAAAAATAACTCATTAGAAATTCTTGAATTATTAGGAATTTTCCTAATTGTTTCTTGTCCTGCCTGTTGAGCAAAGCCTGGAATTTAGCTCACTGTCTTATTGATTTAAGGTTATTCTTATAAACTCCCCTTTTAGTTGATTACTGGTTTAGGTTAACATCTCTGTTTTAAAACTAGGAAGAAAGGAAAATTATTCCAGATGTGACAGCAGATTTGCATGTTCTTTGTCAAAAGAAAAAGCTACTGAATAACAACAAGAGCAATATATTGCATAGTATTTGAATATTTAATCTTACTGCCAAGTCTTGCCATTATGAATAATGTTTTTCCCCTCTTAATGAAAAGCATTTTTAAATCATCATGAGAACCAGGAATAGTTAATTCTATAGTATATGGTTATATTAAGGCTGTCCCAAAAATATGAACATATGAATAAGGGAAGCTACCATACTAAAATTTACATTTCTATTTAAAAATGGAATTCATGCTATTTAGTCAAAGATTAAATTAGTTAAGATCAGCCAAAATGTTAGAGATAATGTAAACCAGCTTCAGAAATTAAAACTTTCTGACATTACAAATAGTCTAGAACAGGGCTCCCTAATCTCCTGTCCGTAGACCGGCACTGGGCGTGGCATGCCAGAAAGTGGGCTGTGCAAACAAGTGATGCAGGCAGCACACAAAACCACGGCCCCTTTGGTCCGTGGAAAAACCTCTCTCCACAGAATGGGTCCCTGGTGCCCAAAAGATTGGGGGCTGCTGGTTTAGAATATACAAAAAATAAATAATGATTAATATAATTCCTAAGAGAAAGACATACCTAGGTATTTTTTTCTTTAAGACATAAAACTTAAATTCATTTAAAAGAAAAAAATTGAAATGAATGTACTTTTTGCTGCATCAAGAGTTTTTTTTGTGTGAACAATCTTTTTTGCAGGTTTTTGAGTGCAGTTCAAAATGGCTTTTCCCCATATTTTATTAATTTACACATGCCCATTGATTACATGATAAAGGAGAATATGAAGATGAATTGGATAGCGTTAAACTGGCCCAAGCATACAAAAATTTGTCTTGCTTAAGCAACTGCATTTGTTCTTAAAATATGAATTCCCACAACTAATTACAATGAAGAACATTAACCAGATTTATACTTTTAACTAATTATTTTTCACCTGAGATGCAATTCCAGGCCACAAGCACAAATAATTAGACCCAATCCATTAATTAAAGCTATTTGCCAAAAGACTTTGAACGTACTGTAAACTGTAACTGCATCTAGCAATTGTAGTAATTTATCCCACCCAAACTCACCAATACATCCTTTTACTTCATTAGACACTATGAGCAGTTAAAGCATGACTAACTCTTGAAAGAATAATTT